GCGGTATATTTGAGGTGCGCGTTATCGATGGGAAAATACGGTCATCAAAATCTATTTAAAGCAAACCAATACTTCAGTCCATAATCAGTGCCAATATCCCTTTGAAAACTTTTGAAGAACACTCACTTCTTTGAAAAGCAATATGCACACTTAAAAAAAAAACTCGACCCATATCCCCATGTCTGAACAGTTCCAAAAAAACTTTGTAACTGTTTGAGCGTCGGACGAAGCAGATTCTGGCGTCCTTCTTTTCACGAAATGAACGGTGAGCGCTGCTCTCCATTTCCATGCCATCATCAAGGAGTGTGTTACTTTTTAAAGACAAAGTGTACACTGTACAGCAACTACGTGACAGACAGTGTTCAGTCTCGTGTTTACATTCCACATAGTCGGACTCGTTTAATAAGCTTGGGAAGAATGCGGAGGGGCCCTGACCTGGCCAAGAACCTTGAGTAATCCAGGTCTAAAGACATGTGTGGCAAGTTTCTTGCTCGAAGGAATTCGCGGTTAAGACAGGCTAACTAGGCACTTTCAGAGTTCAAGCTGATCTTTTACTACCGTACCATTACACATCACGACATTTGAACAGCAATGGCTATCGCAGTTTCCTTTTACTCGCTAACACACTGTTAAGTGCTTTCCGAAAACTGTCAATGTGCTATTATCAATGATCAGTTAAATGGATCCCCTGGGCAACTAGGAGCAAAGTGACGGACAGTAAAGTTTTGGATGAGCCATTCATTATTTGTTATCCTCTTTGATTGCAATACCTGTGATTGTCTAACATTTCATTTCGTCTTGCCATTTATACTTCTGTTTTGTTCCTAACTGTCGGTTGAAAGACGAAAGAATGTTTTCTGAACAGAATATGAACTAGAAATAAGGTTAAAATGAAGCTGAAAAGACTGACTGAACGCTTTCATAACTTTTGTTTAAATTTAGTTTGGAAATTATTTAGTACTAAACAACTACTTCGACACCATACGATATTTGAAACTAGTAATTACAAAAGTAGCAAGATATTTTTAAACTTTTGACGACGCAGCGGATATAGTCGCAACGAAAAGTTCGATCGCGTTTTAAGACTATTTGTACTGCAAATCATGGACAGATATAGAAAAAATACATTTCAATATATTGCACTAATTTGTGAATGTACGCAAAGCCACTTGCATGGCGCAATAGGCGTCATTAGCAGGTTTCAGAGTAGCAACTCTGTTCGACTCATCGCCATCGTGAACTACGGGAAAACGTTTAAATGCAAACATAGCGGGTCACTATTATGATTCAAAGGCCGGAACCAGCACAAGGTGGATAGATGTCATTTACTGTATCAAAACTTAAGCCTTCTGAATCAAACTCGACATTGATTCGATCTTCGTCGATTTCCATGCACGGTCACCGAACATCAACTGTTCATCATGAGGGACGTACAACGGTAGAAACTGCCTCAGCAACGCAGGTTACTTTTATCGTAAAGGCACAGGCGATCGCATAGTTCACAGATGCATTCTTAGAACATACGGTTAGAAACGGGCTGGCAGCTTATCACGGATTGGCCGAATAACTGCCAAGCAATGACCACCACTCCACTTATGTGCCTTGCTCCATAAACATCATCGGTAGAACGTCAGCGCCTCGTTAAATGCTGGAAACCATACCTAGTGACCACAGGCTGCTGTTTTGTCATTGTTATGTAAAGTTAACAGAGCTTAAACTGCAGAGTAACCCAGATTTGCGATGCATGGCCGTTAGAAAAGTTTTGAATATATTTCCGGGCCGTTCATAGGTGATTTTATCAAATTCAGTCAGGCTCCGGTCTGTGAGTTCATTTGATAACTGGCAGTCAGCAACTGCTCGTTTGTGATCCAGTGGTACCACTGCACCTTGAAAATGTTGTGCAGGCAGCGTCGTTGAAAGCTATCTAAACGAGTCGCCAAGAGGGCAGGTGTTTCGGGACTTACATAAGGCTGCTTATAGAATGTTCTCCCTGTCCATTATTATAGTCCAGTCTTTCCATATATTGCCATAATTCGATTATACCAGCCCAATATGCCAATTCACTTCAGGATCAATGTCGTTTTTGGGGGATCACCGACTTCGCCAGATGCGGCCAAAAGCCAGGTGGATGGAACGAAGGTTTTTACCTTTGCACTTTAGGATATTCGCCCAATTCCGTCATGTCTACAGGATTTCCGTACTGCTTCTCGGATTTCTTCGATCGATGGTAGGGTGCAGTCAACATCTACATATTTTCCAACTTCTTCTATTTTGAGATTTACAGGAAAACCAGGCACATTTAGGAGCTCCGCGAAGTGCTTAGCCCATCGTTTCCGACAGCAATCATGGTCTTACAGCGGATTACTGGACTTCCTGTGGGACAAAGTAGTGGTATGCTTTTGTTTCCCACCTATGGCGATCGTACTTATCTGGATGTACAGCATTTTCCAGTCCTCTTGAGGTAATGTCCACCAGAGACATTAGGTAGTTCAGACAGCAGTAGTTACATAGCTCAGTTTGTTCAACATCTGAACAATGGAAGAGGGATGGATTCTAAGTGGCTATGTTACGTACGAACAGGGAAAATTAGAATACAGACGTTAAACCATAACAGCAGAATTTTTGGCTGCACTTCTCAGCAAGCCCTGACCTACACAGTGGAATGGCTTCTAGCTTTGCGAAACAATATGCACAGAAGAATCATTTCATAAACAAAGTAAGCGAATTTGGTATGAACCATCAAACGCACAATGGATTTAAAATTTCAATTACATAGGGATTACATAAATGCACAGAAGCAAATCTTCAGAAAAGAGACATTGCAACAACAAACAGGCTTAAGTGACTTTAAGATTCGCGTTCAAATCGTCGGATATGTATGAATCGATATCTTTATCCCTCCTTGTGTTAAACTGGAACGTAAAATCCTTAAAAACAGCAAGATTGTAGCAAAAGTAAAACGAAGGTTCGTGAACTGGTCTTTAAGTACATCTAGCAAGAGACAAAAAACCATTAAGCGAAACCCTATCGAGTGCAACAACGATTGAAAATTAACGATTCATTACTAACGATTTCCTCAACACTACTACTCTAAAATTAAAAGAGAAACCATCATATATTTCTTATATGTCAATTTAAGACGTAACCAACTCCTGGAGAATACAAACAGAACGACCACAACAAACGTAATAATTCAAAGAAATGTGACGCGGAGGGAGATGATAAAAAACTCAAAATTTACTGGATGTACAGACAAATTTCGAATCCTTTACACCAGTGTGACCAGGTTACGATTAGACCATTCAGATCACTTCAGCGAAATAATCAAGCTCCCACTCTTTACCTGCTCCCGTATATAAATGGGAGATCAAGGCAAACAAGCTTAATTTTGACTTTTTTATGCCATCCTTGACAGTACCAATTAAATGGTCCATTCCTTCGCATTGGTAGTGTCACGAAACTTTCGTTTACTTCATTAGGCGAACATGTTGTTGATATTTCTAGCGTCAATCTCTGCGTATAACAGTGCTAACGGTAGAGACTAAAAGTGTTAAGTGTTACATAAGAGTGTTTCATATGCATTAGTTGACTAGCTAAGGCACTTACTCCAAAATATCGACCATATCTCCTGGCATGATAATGAGCAGGTGTGAATTCTGCTTTCAACTTCCTCAATTCATCATGAACCGTGATTGGCTGACCCTACTGGCTCGATTGCGTTCTGGTCTCCTCTGATGTAGAGTCGCCAAAACGTTTGGCCAGTGTAATAGAAATTACACGTTAAATTGTAAATCCAGCATATCATGTCTGTTGTATTATTCGCCATAGTATTCATTCTCGCTTGCAAACTAAATACATCATTAATACCTACCAATTTGTAAACTTTTTATTTACGGAATATTTCATCTAACTCGGCTTTACTACACGAGTAAATTGCGTCCAAACTATTTGTTTCACGTCTTCGCATTTTCGTCCATGCAGCATCAGATAATTGTTAATAACATCGCGTCACCTTTTGCCTAGTCTCCCTTCTTTTCTCTTACAAGGAATAATCACTGACTACAGTACTGCAATCTTCATACCTTCGTCTCACACGACCGAACCAACAGAACTGGTTGAACTGAAACATTGCCCATCGAATCACTTCACTTCATTCACTTTCTGTTATTCGAAGTACCAGGTTTGATGCAGACACTGTTACGACACTCTTGTGTACCGTTTATGAAGCTGCCTTGTATGTCATTCACCATTTTTATAGACACCACCAGTTCAACACAGAATCGGAATTCGCAGCTTCATAACATGTGGAATTATCTAAAGCAACTAATAGAACTGCGTAGAAGTATAGGTTACAGCTGAGGTAGTCCTAGTATATTTTCTTTGGCTGTGCCCCTAGTTACGATAATACTATTAACATAGTGCTTAAAACGAAATGGCATTACTACCAGCATTACTTGAAAAGTTGGGTTGCACGCAGTTTAAGGACTACTGACAATGTTAACGGTCCTAGAGCTACTAGTACTAAAACCTGCCAAGAATGGAGGAAAAAATTGATCTTAATCTTAGAAGTAAAAGAACTAGCACAGTTAAATCGCTAGCACTTCGTACAGTTGGTGTTTGGGGTCAGTCTTATAGTATCATTAAAACATAAATACTTGGTTCATCGTTATTAGTGGTACTTAGCAGTTCGCATTACTAATCTAAGAGTTCAAATAAGCTGGAGGACACTAGTTATCAGTATACTGTATCACTAATGAAAAGACTTTAGGGATTACTAGCGCTGAAGGTAATCAAAACAGTTGCTTCAGAACATCCAATAACACCAATTCTAATAACGTAAGTCTCGAGAAGGTGCTTCACTACAACCACTATTTACTTACTAACGGTATAGATATAAATATTTCGCAACCTAAATATTTATTTCAGTAGGAAAACGTCAGATGTCGCTTGGGACAAGCGTATATAATCATCACAAAAACTAGCACTCCAATCATTTAGATCTTTACGTTGGCATATTTAACGCCTGATAGTTCAGTGAAATAAATACCTTGTCAGCAGTTGCCTCCATGCTACTTTTATTGCAACTGGCCTCTTCCTCAGATGTTAGGTCTTTATCCTCATCTTCTTCCTCTTCTGACTCATCAGCCGTGCCAGCATCTTCTTCAATCGGCAACAGACAGCGTTTCATGCCATAAGTATCCAAAGTTTTGTTCAACTTTTCGATACCAGTTTCTCCGATTTGGTTATCTGAAAATGAAGTTGAACAGTTGCAACGAAATGTCTAAAGTCGTTATAAGAAGTTGCACCATTAACTATCTCTCAATGGTACACAATGACGTGATTAAGTCAACTACTATGTGGCCTTGGCGAAGTGTAGCCGTAAAACGCACACATAAGACACCACCGCGGCCGTAAATCTCGTACTCTCTAGGATAACCATGTCAGAACATTATGC